ATCGCTCACCATGGGCTATGGCACCAAGGAGAGGCTGGGAGGTGCAGATTGAAAGGATCTGTCAGGCTGCACAATTCCTGGCTCTGCTCTAAAACATTCAAGACAATTCTTATGAAAATCACGTCCATCACAACACATTCACTATTGTTGCTTCTTTCATTGCCCCTCCCACTCATGTTTATGTATTTTATTTGAAACACACCAAAAAAGCACTTGTCTTCAACAGTTGCCCTGATTTACCATTTCTATCCTGCCCTTCTGGTAACCAGCATCTTCCCTTCAAGAATAATCACACCCAAGCAAGAATTTCTTCACCTTTAAAGATCCTTTCCACAACCTGTAACCCTCTGTGCCGTCATGATAATTCTGGAAATATCACCACCAGGGACAGGCTATATATAAAACATTTTTTTTAAAAAATGTTATTCCCTGTTACAAAGTTGAGATAGTTCTATTTATTTAGAGGATGGTATGAAGGAATACCATCACTTATATTTTACTGTGTAGTAATCTTGCTTACCTGCAATTTCTTCTAAAGAATTTGCTCTCATGTCTAGTAACACTGTGCCATTGAGGATACAACTTCTCACTTCAAACAAACTGTGAAGTGACAAAGTGGCAACATATGGCTTACTCCACCTCTCTCCTCCGTCTTCAACATCTTCTTCAAATTTCAGCCACCTGAGAAAAGAAAAGGAGTTTACACAGCAATTTCTCTTGGGGCACTATACTGGCTAGGATTGCTGGGTATTACAAGGAAACAACATTTTGGAGGGCTGCACAACTCCCACATTTTAGCTATTGGCAACTTGAACTAAAGCAGACCCAATGAATCAACTACCAAATAGTAACTCGATACTCATTTAAATCCTATTGATTCAATTGGTCTTCTCTAATTTGAATTAGTAATTGGATTAGATTGTAGAAGGCATATGTTCTTTTTTTGCTATTTGTCAATGTAGTTAATGTCCTATTGCCTCAGGAAAGAGCTGAGAGTAAGGGGAAGCTGGAAGATGGCAGCTAAGAAGCATCATGGCTCAACAATGAATTGATCTTACACTTCCCATATGTACTCATTTATGTGTACTCATATGTGCTCTTCATTTCTGTACTCTGTAAAAGGCAGTCAATTGGCCATCACAAATAGTGCACCATTTTTATTCCAGATAACATACCATTCCTCTTCTGAACCAGGTCTACCATGGAAAGCATGCTAAATAGAGCTGGAAACTGGGAAAATACAGGTATGAATTTGGCTCATGTCTCCAATTAGTCCATCATGACTTGCTGAAAATATGACTGTGCTCATCATATTAAGACTCAGGAGATTATCACACATGCCTTTTTTGCCCGATTTGGACAAGGGATGGGATTGGGCTGCAACAGGGGAAAATGGGTGTTATCACACACAAAATTGCTGTTGTGCTGCCAGCCAACCACCCCCTGTCCCCGAGCCATGCCTATGCCACCAATTTTGCAAGGACAAAAGCTTTCTGTCCTTCAAAATCGGCCAGCTCAGGATCAGGTTGGCAGCACAGCAACAATTTTGTGTGTGATAACCCCCAATTTCCCCCATTCCATTCTAATCCCGTCCCGTGCCTGGATTGGGCAAAAATGCCCATGCAATAATCTCCTTAGCAAAAGCAGCTTCATTTATATACCACTTCATATCACGCTATGGGATGTCTAAGCGGTTTACAACTGTAAGCTCATTGCCCCCCAACAGCTGGGTACTCATTTTAGCGACCTCGGAAGGATGCAGGCCTGAGTCTAGCCTAAGCCCTAGTGGCTAGTATTGAACTCTCAACCTTGTGGTCTATGAGTGAGTGGCTGCAGTACAGGCATTTAACCACTGCGCCACCAGGGCTCTTAGAGTAAATGTGTGTCTATCTGCTACAGGTAAAGTCCACAGCAAGTCTAATAGGAAGTCTGTTGAAATAAAGCTGGACCCATGAGCCTATTTGGTTTTTTTTATTTCTTTTGGTTAAATAACACCATCTTTTTTTAGAGACATTTGTTATTTATAGCTTTAATATTCCAGCCTTGCTTCAAGAAAATCAGAATGAGGATTTGGATACACAATTTATTTATGTTATCTTATCTCATTTTATTTATATGCTGCCTTTCTCCTGGAGTGGAACCCAAGGCAGCTCACAGATAAAATTGGTTAAAAACTTAACAATATATATTTAAAATCACTTAATATCATCTCATTAAAACAGCATAAAATTACATTAAAAGTAAAAAAGTTAAAAAACATAAACAGAACATGCGCCCCAAATAAAAAGGGTGCAATGATTACATACACAACAGCCCTGTGGGGTAGGTTAGTATGCAAAATAATAGTCTGTCACAAGCAATCAAGGAGAACAACATTCTGAGAATATCTTTATTAGCTGGGGGTAAGGAATGCCTCCCTCCACATTCCCATGAGTTATCAGCAGATCAATGCCTGCTTTACTGGAACTGTGTTAGATTTAGGATTTACCCTGAAAGCCTATTACTTCAGGATTAGTGCTGCAAAAAGCATTATGTAATGCCTCTTCTACCTCATTACAGTAAATAGTAGTCATTCACTATATTATGTTATCTAACCAGGAAAATGTAAGTTCAATAAAAAGACTTGTGAGCAGCCTATCTACATTTCTAACTTTGCTATTTGTTGGAGTATGCTTTTACATCCATAGTACATTCACCTTTACTTCAATCTGCTTTTCTCCAGAAATAAATTTAAAATATATCCACCATTTTCATCAGAGGGAGAAATCTAGTTAATGATATTTCATATTAATACTTTTATTCATTGCCATTTTCATTAATTTCCTCCCTTGCTCCAAACATGCTGTGACCTACAAAATATTAAATCCAGATGTGACAACATCTGGCTTTGAAGAGAAATGCCACTGAGAGCAATACTAGCTGTGGGGGTTTAAAGAGCACCCTTGGTTTAAATCTAAATGGCTATTTGGGGAGGGGGGCTTCCTTGTGTCTTTGAAAGGTCCTGCCAGGTTCTTTGATGCTAAGCAGAGAACATCCTGAATACAGGCTTTCACCTGGCCGTCTCCCTCCACTCAGCATCCTCTCCTTCACGCCAGCAAAGTTCATCAAGTTCTGTAAACAGATCATGTGGAATGTGCTCCTCATCATCATCTTCTGTTCCCAAAATAAACTGTACCCTCTGTGAAGGGGTGTCTAGGAAAGAAGAAAAAAGCAAGGAAGTAAAAATCAAAATTAGAGTACAATAACGGCTAAGGAGCTTGAGCAGGAATTCAATGAGAAGTATTACTTGCATAGAAACCTATAAAGAAATTAAAAGTTAGTGTTATTGGCCACAGCTATGCTCTTTTGTGTCACAGAGGAAAATGTTGCAAGAATATAGTAAAGACTATTCAAATCTTTGTTATCCCTATAATGAACTTTCACAAGCTAGTAACCATACCCTGTAAGTAAAATAATCACATCTTGTCAAACCAGTCATGCATTAACACTTGGTTCCCAAAAGCAGTACACATCATTTTGGCATGGGTTAAGCTTTGTTGCTTTGGCAAGTTTCTTTTTTAAAAAACAATCAAGTTATATGTGAATCATTTTTAGCATTTTTAGTTATGTTGCATGAAAGAATGAAGTATTTCAAAGTTTTCTCCCCGCTGTATTTTTGTGCATTTTCCAATGATTTCTTTTAATTTCTGGGGGTTTCCAAAACCTGCTTTAAAAGCCATCAGTTGCACTGAGAGGAGGAGGTCTGGTTTGCTCATGGGGTAATACCTCCAGCCCTCTCCCATCAGTAAGTGAGCTGTGGCAATCACACGACAGAGATGGGGACATAGGTACTACGCCTTGCCACAAACCAAGATGCCAATTCTGCCCACAAATTTATCAAGGAAATGTCATCACAAGACCTAATGACATCGCCCACAATATTAGGGGGACTTTGAAATGCTCATCCTCCAATATGATTTATGCCATACTATGTCATCAGTTGCCTGTTAACACTGTACATCGGGCAAACAGGCCAGTCCCTGCACCATCAGACATTAGGAATGGGAATACACAAAAACCAGTGGCAGAACATTTCAATCTCCTTGGGCATTCCATCTCAGACCTCAGAACAGCAGTTCTTGGATGAAAGAACTACAAAGAAACAGAAACAGCAGGATTGGAGCTCATCTACAGACTACAGTCCCTCAGCAATGGTTTCAACAAAAATAATGGCACACTACACATATTCTCATCTGACCCCATCCTCATGGGGGATGTCCTACACTCATCTGTTCTCTTCACCCACAGATTAGTTTCCAAAACTTGTCTTGCCACTTCACTTCCACACACGAAGGCTAGTTACCAATGCCTTTGTTCACAAATGCCCATTGTCAAAACTGGGCTTGCCATTTCATTTCCATACACAAAGGATTTTGAATTTGAAATGACATTCTCACATACCAGTACATATCTGTCCCTGGCTTCCACTCCACCACATGCATCTGATGAAGTAGATATTAGTCTACGAAAGCTCACGCTGCCAACTTCTTTCAGTTAGTCTCAAAGGTGCTACAAGATCTCTCTACATAGTGATTCTACAGACTAACACGGCTATATCTTTGAACTTCTGGAGGGTGATAGAGCCACATGATGCCTGCTCCTGGTCTAGGTTTATCTTTATCTCCTATTAAAATCAAGCCTGCATATTTGTAGCAGAACTAAACACATATTCTTCTCCTGTTTCTATATGTCTTTATCAACATACTTTTCCTCTCTTGCCTTCCTGTGGGTAATTCTAGACTATAAGGAGCAGATGCTGACTTCTTGTGTGTGCCTGTACCATCAACTGACTTATGGAGCTGTTGTTGTGTGCTTTCAAATTGTTTCCAACTTGTGGCAACCCTAAGGCAACCATATGTTGTTTTTTGGGGGGCAAAGTTTTTCAGAGGGGGGTTGCCTTTTTTGCATTTCTCTGTGGCTGAGAGTGTGTAACTTATTCAAGGTCATCTAATGGGTTTCCATGGCTGAGCATGGATTTGAACCATGGTCTTCAAACTTGTAGTCCAACACTCAAACCAGTACACCACTCTGGCTCCTACTCGACCTATGGTGACCCCATTAATTTCATAGCATTTTCTTAGGCAAGAAATACTTCGAGCTAAATGCTGAATCTTAGATGTGTGTGTGTGGATGTGCGTGTGTGCAAGCACTTGTCTTGAAGTCATTTGCTGACTTATGACCACATGAATTTCATGGGTTTTTTAAAGCAAAGAATACTCAGAGGTGGTGTTGCCAGTTCCTCCTTCTGAAATATAGCCCAAAGGACCCAGTATTTATTGGGGGTCTCCCATCTAAGTACTAACAAATGCTGTACTTACCTTCCAAAATCAGAGGGGATCTGTGCCTTTAGGGTATTTCAGCACTTACCATTTTGGAAAATGCCATGCATTGGCAGCAGTATATGAACATGCATCTGCTAATGAACACGTTATCTCCAAAGGGAATGAATATCAGAAATCTACATTTATTTTTGTTTCTTTATTAAAATGTAACAAGTTATTAATTTCACATATTTTAATTTCAGATGTGAAGCAACATTAAAGCAACTGAGTTTCAGATAAAAATCTGTTCCATGTCCAATTGGAGCCTTGTTGGAACAGTCTGTACAAAACAGGAAAAGGAAAGAGTCAGCAGCAAAGCTGTGTCTACACAACTAATGATATTGCCTAGAATACGGCAAATTTCAGTGGCAAACTGCAAAAAACCCTCTAAAGAAAGGATTTTCCACTCTAAAAATATTTTTTGTTTAGCCCAAAGAGTCTCAGAATCACTTACAAATAGTTAATTCAACAGTCCCTGCTTTTAGGGTGGTTGTTACTGTTATTGTGTGCCTTCAGGTCATTTCTGACTTATGACAACCACAAGTTTGTTGTGGTGATGGTGGTGGTTTTTGCAAGATGTGTTCAGAGGAGGTTTGCACTGCCTTTTCCTGAGGTTGAGAGCATGTGACTTATCCAAGGTCACTCAGTAGGTTTCATGGTCAAGCTGGGAATCAAACCCTGGTCTCCAGAGTCACACAATTTATGACAAGTTTGTTTTTTTAAAGTTTGGATAAGAAAAAGTGTTTTTTGTTTTTTTTGTGCACTATGGGTTGGAATCAATTAACAGCTCCTGCCAGCAAAAAGAGAGAAGGGATACAGCCATTTACACCCTCAAAATCTATTGGTTGGAAAAAAAATCTATTCCTTCCTAATGGCAAATGGGAGCTGAAGGAGGAAGGAGAAGAAACAGTCCCAGATGTTGAACCAAGACCTAATTTTCCTTTATTAGACGTTCTTCAACCATGGATGCTGTAGCAACAATTTTCCTACATTACCAATTGGACTAGACAAGCTCTCTGATTTCACTAAGCAGAAGATTACCATTATGTAAGTTCTTTAAAACGTGGGCATTTGGGGTTGTTATATGAGGGAAACATCACTGATATATTGTGCTTGGTGGGGTACTAAGCCACAGAATAAATTCAAGCTATCCTCAGAATGCCCCTTTTTAGGAATTTGGATAGGGCTCCTTCTTCCTTGCACTTTCAAACAGAATTTCTATTGCTGAGAAATGCGGAATGATGCCTGCACTTTCTACCACTCTGCTCCTCTGCTGAGAACATCTTTCTTGAGTGCATGTAGAGGCCATTTACTGTCATTAAAGGGAAAAGGTGGATTAATAGACAGGAGCAGTCAGCTGTGCCTGCAGAGCACCCTTGCTAATACAATGCTTTTGCACTGGATTCTGGGAGTAACAACTCTCCAACTAACAACAGACAAGAAATCTCACTCAGTCCACACAGGGGAGAAGCAGACGAGAGCTTCCCAGATGCCCTGGGCCGGCGCGCCGCGGGGCCGCAGCCTCCGCACCTCAGCGCACCGGCGGCATCCCTGGAAGGAGCGCTAAATCAGAGCTCCTTCCTCAAGACAGCGAAAGTGCGCCCTAAACGTGTAGGGTGCACTTTCGCTGTCTTTTCCGCCGCAGCACATGCGGTCGCTGCGGCGGGAGGTTGCCCTGGGAATGCCAGCCGTGCGGAGGACCGGAAGCTCCGAGGGCAACCTCAGGAAGAGGAAGGAGTGCCGCGCGTGCGGCTGCTCCTCCTCTTCCTGGGCTCGGAGACGACTCTATTAGTCGTCTGCCGAGGCCCACAGTCTGGTGTCTTAAGTAGGACATGTTAAGCCAACCACATAATATTTAGGATTGAATGGGAGCCATGGATAGAGGATATAAACAAAAATAGATTTCTTGTCAGAAAGATTGCCTTCCATACACAGCTGTAACAAGAACTACAAATGAACTCAGGTACAGGGGTGCATCCATACTGCAGAAATAATCCAGTCTGACACCACTTTAAGTGCCATGGCTCAATGCTATGGAATTCTGGGAACTATAGTTTGTTATGGCACCTGAGCTCTCTGACAGAGAAGGCTAAATGTCTTACAAAACTACAATTCCCAGAATTCCATAGCATTGATCCATGGCAGTTAAAGTGGTATCAAAGTGGGTTATTTCTGCAATGCAGATGGCCAAAGAGACATGCCATTACACGGCTTTCAAATATTTGGATAAGAATCAACATATTAATAATAAATTCAATTTGTAAATAATTTGCACTGTCCAAAGCAACATTGCATTAAACTTGACCAAATATGGCCATGGACTCAAAGAACAGTTGGCATAAAACTGAGATCACAACAATTCCACTTTTCTGTTAATATGTATGGAGAAGAGAGATAAGGTGGACAGAACAGCCCTGATTTCTATATTTGGATGCTGTGGGACAATAATAATAATAATAATAATAATAATTTTTATTTGTATTTCCCGCCTCTCCCTACGGATCGAAGTGGGATAACAAGTAATATAAAAATAAAAAACATAAAATATATAAAAACCACAACAACAATATCCCCCCCACCCACAATAAAACCCCATAATCCCTCTAATTAAAACCAATACCCACCCTATCCAGTGAACCGGTTATCATCTTCACACACCCCGGATGTCATACTGATAAAGCAATTAGTTTTTTACAAATTAGGAAGGTCAGGT